TAAAAAAAAAAAAAAAAAAAAAAAAAAAAAAAAAAAAAAAATTTTTTTATTTGGGCATAATAAAGGCACAAAAGAATCCTCTTAATATGATTAATAATATTCTAAATGACTATTATTTGCATCTCTTCATTTAGAAAGTAATTGGTTTGTGAAAGTTCCCCTCATCTTTTCTAAGGTAAAAATAAAATCACTAATTTAAATATACTACTCTAAACACGACAGTCCTAAAGAGATGAATATACTTAATTTCACACAGATTTTCAAATTTGGAAATGAGACCAGTGGTAATTCAGACATTTCAGTGTTAATCTTCTGTTTTATATTTCAAAGTTGTTAAATTCATATGGGAATGTTAAGATTTAAGTATTTTAAGACTATTACCTAAGTTTAATACTCTGAAGATAAAAAAAATAAGTTGGAGGGGCCATTTTATTAAAAATAATGACTTATCTCCAAATAATGCCAAAGTAATTAACTTCCATAAGATAATTTTTCTAATGGTGGAGGAATTTGATCCTGTTTTGCTTTCTTAATATATGGTTTTGTCATCTTAGAAACATCGGTAGTAAAGGGTTTGAAATCTGCCTTAGGCCAGCATTAGTAAAAAAGCCAAGTAAAACCCTCCCCTAAGGTTCCTAACCAAAAGCAGTATTCTTTTGTGTTTCAGAGAAACTAGATTTTAAACCTCAATGTATAAAGAAAGGAATCACTAAAGAAGTAGACCCATGTACAAAAAAGATTAACTCGGGAGCCAGAAGGACTAAGTTCAAATCCAGCTCTTTGATAATTAGTTGTGTTACATTGGGCAAGTTACCTAACTTCTTTACCTTGATTTCCTTATATGTAAAATGGAGATAATAATAATAGTACCCTTATTTCATAGGGCTGCAAAAATTAAAGAATTAGTACATGTAAACACCTTAGAATAGCTCCTGGTACATAGTAAGTGCTATGTAAAGTTCACTTTTATTTTTACTGTTTTACCACTACAGATTTTCATGGTTTAGTTGTGAAAAAGTTTACCAAGTGAAAATTATTTTATTGTATCTATAATGAAAGAATATTATTTTATGTTAAGTTTAATTCTAATTATGTTGTCACGTTTTATGTACAAATAAGATCAAATTCAGAATTTAAGTGTAAATATCAGCCTGATACAATATTACCTAATCACATAAATAGCCTAAATAGGTATTACTTTAACTGTACACAGTAGATACCTACACAATATTTGCTGAAATAAATGTATTACAAAGAATATTGCTAATTATTTTCTAGGGGAGAAAATGAAAACCATCTAACTGCTACAAACATTAACCAAGCTAATAAGTTAAAGTGCATCCAACACAATCTGTAGTAAGATCTTCAAGATATTAAGCACTGACTGCCTTGGGCTCATCTGTTAACTTATTTACAGTAAGTTGGTACTATTTAAAATAGACATTCCTTTTCTGATTCAAAATAATATTGCATACTTAAATGAGAAAACAGTAAAGACAAATTTTAGGACGCCCATATTTTTAAATAGCTGTTTTAAAATATACTGTAAATAACAGAAAATGGCTAAATTATTTCTACATTTAATAATTAGCTTCCCTAGGACTTAGGTGGATGGAACTAAATTAAAATATCAAGGATGATGATATGTTCCATTATTTGCTATGTTCTCTGTCAGTAAAGGATACCCGTATCAATAGGGTAGTTTAGAGGTTAAGCCATACACTTTGCAAAAGAATATGCACTTGGCCGGGTACGGTGGGTCATGCCTGTAATCCCAGGACTTTGGCAGGCTGAGGCAGGTGGATCGTAAGGTCAAGAGATCAAGACCATCCTGGCCAACATGGTGAAAACCCATCTCTACTAAAAATACAAAAATTAACTGGACATGGTGGTGCGTGCCTGTAGTCTCAGCTACTCGGGAGGCTGAGGCAAAAGAATCGCTTGAACCCAGGAGGCAAAGGTTGCAGTTAGCCAAGACCGAGCCATTGCACTCCAGCCTGGGAGACAGTCTCACTCTGTCTCAAAAAAAAAAAAAAAGAATATTCCCTTGTATTTTTAAGTTAACTAGAAAACAGAAAGTCCACCTATTTTCCACTTTACTGTCAATGTAAAAATTCAACCTTTTGGTATAAACCAATTAGATGAATATATGGGAAGAATTAACTGTTCCTAATATGTTAAAATATACATTTCTATTTTGAACTATTTCTTCTCCATTTAAATCATACATGAGCTAAAGTATCCTGTTATATGCAGAACGGAAATATCTTTTGAACAAACTACTACCTAAAAAGAAGTTCCATGAGGCTTTTATTTACAATCAAAACAAAAAAACCAAGTCATGAAGCAGTCTAAGCGAAGCACAGAAACCATAAGAAACCATAACGCTACAAGGTACAAGTGGCAAGGACTTGTTGGAGGTATACTTTGTTTCTTAAATTTTCAAAACTACATCCTCTGCCTGTGGGTGGTGGCTCATGCCTTAATCTGTGCACTTTGAGAAGCAGAGGCAGGCAGATTGCTTGCTTGAGTCCAGAAGTTTGAGATCAGCCTGGGTAATATGGTGAAACCCTGCCTCTACAAAAAAATTTAAAAATTAGCCTGGGGTGGTGGCATCACCTGTAGTCCCAGCTCCTCTGGAGGCTGTGGGAGGATGGCTTCACCCAGGAGGTCGAGGCTGCAGTGGGCCAAGATCACACCACTGCACTATAACCTGGCCAACAAAGCAAGGTTTTTTTTTTGTTTTGAGAAAAAAAAAAGAAAAACAAACAAACAAAACTACATCTCCTTTAAAACAGCATAGGATTCAAGTATCGAAAAAAAAAAAAAAAGTATGACAAAGTACAGTAGCAAATAAAATGACAAAAAATAAGCAAAAATAATCAAACCAAAATAAGAAAAGTTAGTAAGCATAAAACTGATATGCAGAAATGTATTTTATTTTTATTTATTTTTTAAATTTCTTTATTTTCTTTTTTTTATCCAGTTTCTGTGGAAAGAAACGTATTTTAAATTGAGCCCTCAGGGTTACAAACTAAAGTTGAAATTTCTATAGAAAACCAACAGTAATTCTTTTTTCCTGAGCTATAAAACACACACACACACACACACACACACACACACACACACACACACATACACTAAGCTGTCTCTAGTTTTTGGTGTTTTGTTGTTGTTTGTTTGGTTGGTTGGTTTGGCAGCTAGGTGGAGGGTCAGGCTTGAGGATCAACAGCATGAACACAACTGCTGCAATGACAACACAGGATGTTCATTTCATTTAATGGTTTCAGTGCAGAATATATAGGCCAAAGTCATTTTAGAAGAAAAAAAGAGAAAGACTCCTAAAACTTTTCAACTTCTACTTCTGCACAAAAGTTTATTTCTCTAGTCCCTCTTCGAAGGCAAAAATGACTTCAGCTTTGGATTTTAAAATCTGTGTCATAGATTTCTTATCCTAATAGTCTCACTCATATATGACATGAATATACTGAAATGACCCACTAAATCCTCTATTGTGCTTTCCAGCCTACAGCTTTAATGGAATTAACACCCACTACTCTGAGAGCATGTGCAGGACTTCTTGATTTAAAAAGAAATGACCTTGGAAAAAGATTAACTGTTTTAAGTCATAATTTCCTTTTTTTTTTTTTAAGAGACAGGGTCTCACTCTGTTGCTCTGTGGAGTGCAGTGATGTTATCACAGCTCACTCAAAATCTTGGCTCAAGTGATCCTCTAGCCTCAACCTCCTGAGTAGTTGGGACTACAGGAACACCCCACTACACCAGGCTAATTTTGTCTCACTATGCTGCCCAGGCTGGTCTTGAACTCCTGGCCAATACCCCTACCTTGGCCTTCCAAAGTGCTGGGGATTACAGGTGTGAGTCACCATGCCAGACCTAAACCCTAATTTCTGTATGTTTTGTAAAGAAAAGTGCCACTTCTTACTAGTGACAATGGTATATAGTCTTTAAAACTAGATTTTATCATTTTCTATTGTTTTGAAGACAGGGTGATTTCCCGTCATTTTGGGGGCTTAATGTTCTTATATTAATCTGCATTAATTAACCTGGCATTCCCATGGCTTAAATGAAGTCCACAAACCTGAAGGTAAGGAAGCAGCTGGAGTAACCTAAAGGTAAGGAAGCTGGGTGTGGGTTAGTTTTGAAGGCTGGAAAACAATAAGGCGACGTTGGACAGAAGCTAGAGATAGGTGGTGGGGAGGACGTACATATAAGAAACTTTCAAAGGGGCTTCACTTAGCAGTTAGATGAGTCCTGAAAGCCAATCAGAAGGGTCCTTCCATGTGGCTTCTACGACTAACATGGCCAAACTCCAAAGTCCCTTCTTAAAAATAGCTGAAGAGAGCCCAATTTTGAAATAAGCCAAGGTCTATACATTTGTATATGTGTATGTATATGTATCATGTAATGAGGGAAATTTTTCTATAACTAATTAGCCAAAAGATAAGCAGGTGCTTAAAGTTGTATTTAAGTTCATATTTAAGTACTACATTTTAAAGCACAATTTATAGATTACAGAAGCTGATCACACAAAAACCTCTGCAATCAAGTGCTAGATACACACCGCGAACATCGGAAAAAAATTAAGATTATCCAAGCCTATACTCTAGATGACAGAATTTGGGCAAGGGGTACTAACCACTATGAAATGCAATTCCTTCATGTTATAAATGACTTTAAACCTCCAAGGAAATTTAAGAAAGATGCCCTAAGTCTCAAAATGAGAGAATGATAGTTTTACAACAAAGGTGGAAATGGTTAAAAAAAAAAAACACAAAAGTTAGAAAACATTCTAAGTAATGTAATGTCTGACTAATGAAGGAAGAGGAAGACAAATAGAAAATTTAACACAGTAAAAATGAAAAAAACAATGCATATGTGCATACTGAGTTTAAAGAAGATTACTTTGAAATTACTACAGTGAATTCTTTAGCAGAACACTTTTCGGTAACAACAGAATAAATCGGGGCTAATGATCTCCCCACAAATTCTGTCTTCTATCATCACAAGTGTCCTATAAGAAAAGTCCATGCAAAAAGCAGAGCTGACGTCCCAGAACATTCATATTTTTGCCTCAGCTGTGCACATCCATTTTCACGGGAACACAAAACTCACAGAACGTCTTCATGACCTCTCAATTAACAAGAAAGATCACAACAGCCCAACCGCTAGCAGTACCGTGTGCCTGCCACCTGTTAGCTGCTCTTGAGAAAGCCCCAAGACTGAGATCCAGCGAAGAACTAGGAACGCCTTTGTTGTACTATAACTATGGAAGCTACCAGAGTTCAGCTTAATCCAGCACCTTAAGGCAAAACTTCCCCCAAGGCTGGGGATGTCTTCCCATATCCGGGCTTTGGCAAAGCCCTCCTCTAGCTAAAGTCACGCAGGAGAATCCCAGGCGAAGCACTCTCACCTACTAGTCCCAGGAGGAAGGGTCAAAGGTGAAGAAAGTTGGGGGACAAGAACCTAGGACCCTAGAAAGGGCTCCGTTTCTCAGTGGTGAAGAACGAACATAATAAGGTGGGCAATCTCACTGGATCAAAGAACGCTGAGATCCCAGATCATGGGTAAGGGAAAAGAGATGCTGAAAGGAGGGAGGAGGAGAAAAACAGAGAGGCATTGGCTGACAGAGGCGCTGAGGCGAAAGGCAAGAAACCGAAGCTGGAAAAGGGCTGATGCGGCTGAGGAAAAACAGCGAGGCGAGAGATGCACGGAGGCGAGAAGGCTAAGCTGAGGCGAATAACGCGAGGCCAGCGTGAAGGAAAGGGCTGAGGTGAGTGAAGCACTGCAGGGACAAGGGACAGGCGAAGAGACCCCCACCCACAAGGACGGAGGCAGAACTCTAGATCCATCCCCCTTCAGGCTGTACGCGACCAGCTGCGCTCAGACCCTGTCGGCAGCCGAGACTCACCCAAAGGCTGCAAAAGCCCCACAGCAGGACATGGAGACCAGTCCAAACCCACAGTAGAAGCAAGCGAGCGGAGGAAACCGCGGCGTTAGCGTGACCCGGATGCGCATCCCTAGGAACCGGAAGTAAGCGGCCAGAGTCACCTCACTATCCACACCTCGTTCCACTAGAAACCTCTGGGCGCATGTGTGGAGCCTGACCGGACGGGGAAGCTCCTAGACACCGCCCACTCCGGCGGCCCGGCAAGCCCCGCCCATGGTCACGCCCCGCTCGGCGCCTCCGCGTCGGGCAGCCGGCGCCTGGGTGAACGCCGGGCTGTCTTGACGCTGCTACAGCCCTCACTTTTAAGGACGTCTTTAAAAATGCGCGTAATCCCTACGACGCTAAAAGGAACATGAGGAGAAATGCTGGATGCATTTGGTAGATTTAGAAAAACTGTGGGAAGAAGAATGAGTGGGAAGTTTTGGAAGACATTTGGTACGCTAGCCCAAGGTGATCTTTTTTTCTTTCTTTCTTTCTTTCTTTTGACAGAGTCTCGCTCTGTCGCCCAGGCGGGATCTCGGCTCACTGCAGCTTCCGCCTCCCGGGTTCAAGTGATCCTCTCACCTCAGCCTCTGTAGTAGCTAAGACTACAGGCGCACACCACCACGCCCGGCTAATTTTTGTATTTTTTGCTAGAGACGGAGTTTCGCCATGTTGCCCAGGCTGGTCTCGAACTCCGGAGCTCAGTTCATCCGCCCGCCTCGGCCTCCCAAAGTGCTAGGATTTACAGGCATCAGCCATCGCCCCTGCCCCCAAGGTGATCTTTTTATCCCCAAATTTAGTTTATTCTTAATATTATATTAAGCTTGCAATGAACTTCACTTCATGCATATTGTTTTCAGAAACAAAATTATTAAATGCTTCGTTAATTTTAAATCACAAGCCAAGTATGGGCTAGAAGCAAGGTTGAATTAAGGCTTTGCAGAGACGACGTTTGTTTAACTTGGAGACCCTCTTTAAAATAAAGCCGGGCGCAGCGGCTCATGTGTGAAATCCTAGCACTTTGGGAGGGGAGGGAGGGGTTGCTTGAGCCCAAGAGTTGGAGATCACCCTGGACAACAAAGTTAGACCCTGTCTCTATAAAACAAACAAAGCAAAACAACGACAACAACAAAAATTAGTCAGTTGTGGTGCCACGCCCCTAACTGAGCCCAGGATGTCAAGGAGGCTGCTATGAGTTACGATTGTGCCACGGCACTCCAGCCTGGGCAACAGAGTGAGACTCTGTCTCAAAAAAAATAAAAAAATTTAAAAATCCAAAATTACAAATACAATATTAGATATAAAAGTGAACCTTTTATAATGAGAAAAATTAAAAACATTTTTCATTAGCTCACAAATACCACAAATAAAATCCAGAAAAAAACCACTATTTTTTCTACATTTTTGGCCTATGTTTGAACACCTCTTCCGATGACAATGTACTAAGCAACATCATTTACTAAGATTCTTAACTCCTCTCTCCCATCCCACATCTACTCCATGAGCAAGTTCTGCGAGATCTGCCTTCAAAATCTGTCCAGAATCTAACCATTTGCTGCCTCCCATGGTATAAGCCACAGTCGGTCAGTGACTGTGAGTACCCTATGTATACCCTTGCCTTCTCACTTTTTTTTTTTTTTTTTTTTGAGACGTCACCTCCCTCTGTTGCCCAGGCTGGAGTGCAGTGGCCTGATCTCAGTTCCTCCTGGGTTCTCCTGCCTCAGCCTCCCAAATAGCTGGGATTACAGGGGCCCGCCATCACACCTGGGTAATTTTTGTATTTTTAGTAGACAGGGTTTCGCCATGTTGGCCAGGCTTGTCTTGAACTCCTGGCCTCAAGTGATCCACCTGCCTCAAAGTGCTGGGATTACAGGAATCAGCCACCACACCTGGCCTCCACAGTCTATTAATACAGTAGCAATAGGCTCCTGTTAAAACCCCAATCAAATCATGTCCCTCCTCCAATGCATTCCTATTTCAGAGCAAAAAAACAAAATTCTTGCATTGGCCTATACGACCCTCAAGATTTGACACCTCCAGTACAGCCCTGCTTTGACCTCAACTCCTATTCGTTCTGTCATCCTTCCCCTTAAAGCTCACTGGCCTTTGCCATTCCTCAAACCTGCAGGTAGGCTCAGGGTCTTTGTGCTCTTTAATCCCTCTGCCTGGAGTGCTCTTCCCCTGATACCTGCATCATTCACCCTCTCACCTCATTTACATCTTTATTCACATGTCACTTTCTCAATGAGATCATCCCTGAGACTACATTTAAAATTGGAACACCACCATCCTCCTTGTACTTTCCCATCCAGCAAGTTGCTTGTAAAATTGGCTTAATGTCTCTCTCCCCCTACCAGAATGTAAGCTCCATGAGTCCATGAATGTTTTATTTGTTCACGGATGTTTTTCACACCAGAATGGAGCCTGGCACATTGTAGTCACTCAGTAAATGTTTGTTGAATGAAAGGCTTAATTGCCTATTTACTTTGTTTTTCCTGGTCTGAAACGCTGCAAACTGAGCGACCAACTCCACCAGAGGGAACCCATGAGTAACCAATGCAATCGCCTCAGAAAAGTTATGCCTAAAACATTTACATACATATACACGCAGTTTAAGGACAAGAATATGTTCTGAGAAATGCCTCATTAGGTAGTTTCATTCATTGCGCAAACATTGTAAAATGGATTTATACACATATAGGCTATATGGTATAACCTATTGCTCCTAGGCTACAAACCTATACAGCATGTTACTGTACTGAATACTGAATGAAATTGTAACACAATGGCAAGTGTTGTGTATTTAAACATATAAATACATAGATAATATACAGTAAAAATATGATACAAGCTCATGTGACCACCATCATATATGCATTCTATTATTTACCAAAATATCGTTATGTGGCAGCTATTTTAGAATTAAACAGAATTATAAGAAAGCATGCAAATTCCTCCCCAGAGCAGAGGCTGTATCTTGGTGGCACACCAGGGTCTTACATCCATTTAAGAATAAAATCCAAAGGCCAGGCATGGTGGCTCCCACCTGTAACCACAGCACTTTGGGAGGCGGATCACCTGAGGTCACGAGTTCAAGATCAGCCTGGGCAATATGACAAAACCTCATCTCTACAAAACATACAAAAATGGATGTACAAAAACCTGGATAATACAAAAATTATCCAGGTGTGGTGGCAGGAGCCTGTAGTCCCAGCTACTCAGGAGGCTGAGGCACGAGAACTGCAGGAGACAGAGCTTGCAGAGAGCCGAGATGGCACGACTGCATTCCAGCCTGGGCAACAGAGCGAGAGACTCTGTCTCCAGAAATAAATAAATATATAAAGATAAAATAAAATAATAAAAATAAGACCTCTAAGGTATACATTTCCATTTTTAAAAGACATGATGAATGTATGATCAGTGTTCTATAACAGTTAATAATTAAAACCCTCCTGATGGACATATATGAAGTACAATGGTCTGGATTTTATTTCCGTTGATGTTCTATACTGTACTTGAGACAATTTCTTTTGATATACATGATCGTTGGTCCTCTAAAAGCAATCTGTAGTTGGTAGGATTGTAAAATGGTGCAACTTTATAGAAAGCAATATGGTGGTTCCTGAAAAAAATTAAAACTAGAACTAACGTATGATTCAGGAATCCTCTTCTGAGTATATATCCCTAAGAATTGAAGCAGGGTCTCCAAGAGATATTTGCACACCCATGTTCACAGCAGCACTATTCACAATAGCTAAGAGATGGAAGCAACCCAAACGTCCATTGATGGATGAATGTATGAACAAATGTGATACATACAATGGAATACTATGCAGCCTTAAAAAGGAAAGAAATTTGGCCAGGTACAGTGGCTCATCCCTGTAATCCCAGCACTTTGGGAGTCCAAGGCGGATGGATCACAAGGTCTGGAGTTTGAGACCAGCCTGGCCAATATGGTGAAACCCCATCTCTACTAAAAAATACAAAAATTAGCTGGGTGTGGTGGCAGGCACCTGTAATCCCAGTTACTCAGGAGGCTGAAGCAGGAGAATCGTTTGAACCTGGGAGGCGAAGGTTGCAGTGAGCCGAGATCGTGCCATTACACTCCAGTCTGGGTGACAGGTCAAGACTCTGTCTCAAAAAAAAGAGAAAAAAAAAAAAAAGGAAGGAAATTCTTGCACATGCTACAACATGGATGAATCTTGAGGATATTATGCTAAATGAAATAAGCCATTCACAAAAGGACAAATACCGTATGATTCCACTGATATGAGGTATGTTTTTTTTGCAGGGGGGAACGGAGTCTCACTCTTATTGGCCAGGCTGGAGTGCAATGGCATGATCTTGGCTCACCGAAAACTCCACCTCCTGGGTTCAAGTAATTTCCTGCCTCAGCCTCCAGAGTAGCTGGGATTACAGGCGCCCACCACCATGCCAGCTAAGCTTTTGTATTTTTAGTAGAGACAAGGTTTCACTATGTTGGTCAGGCTAGTCTCAAACTCCTGATCTCAGACGATCCACCCGCCTCAGCCTCTCAAAGTGCTGGGATTACAGAGGCAAACCACCACGCCTGGTCTGATATGAGGTATCTAAACTAGTCAAATTTGTTCGGGCGTGGTGCCTTATGCTTGTAATCCCAACACTTTGAAAGGCTGGTTGGATCACCTGAGGTCGGGAGTTCGAGACAGCCTGACCTACTAAAAATACAAAATTAGCCAGGTGTGATGGCACTTGCTTATAATCCCAGCCACTCAGGAGGCTGAGGCAGGAGAATCGCTTGAACCCGGGAGGTGGAAGTTGCAGTGAACCAAGATCATGCCATTGCACTGGGCAGCAAGATCATGCCTGGGCAGCAAGAGTGAAACTCCATCTCAAAATAAAACTAGTCAAATTCATAGATATGGAAAGTAGAATGGTGGATATAAGGGGCTGCGGAGAGAGGACAAAAGGGAGTTCTTTCATGAGCACAGAGTTTCAGTTCTTCAAGATGAAAAGGTTGGAGATACGTTTCATAGAAATGCAAATATACTTAACACTACTAAATTGTATAAGTAAAAATGGTTAAGATGGTAAATTTTATGTGTTTTTACCACAAACAAATAAATTAATAGGGTTTAAAATCTATAGCAATCTAGTCATCACTGTAAT